TTTCTCAGGTGTTCAAATACTTATGTTCAGCAGTGCAAGACAAATAAATTCTTTAAAAATCATATACAATGTGATTTCCTGAAATTTTTTTTTAATTCTGTCTCTCAGAGTGGGAATGCACCTACAATGTGAATTTCAGACCCCTCCATGATTTCTAAGTGGGAGAACTTGCAAAATCGCAGGGTGTTCAAATACTTCTGTTCCTCACCGTAACTGACAGAACCGAGGCTTTCAACATGAGACACAAAATGAGCTACAGCGCCCCGGACAGCCTGGGAGCCATGCTGTTTCTAACACGACGACAGTTGCCATCTTTGCTGATTCAATGGCTTCACGGCCTCTTTGACCCCGATGTGGGTAGAAGCAGCCTCGCCTGCAGACTTATCCAACATTAGGAAGAACATCCGTGAATTTTTACACCTGGTCTGTTCACTTTATTGAAACTAAAACTGAACAAAAGAACTGACTCTCTCTTTTAATCTGGGGTTCTTACGCCTGTGTATGAGGGCTGAGGGCCCTTTACCTGTCTGTGCTCAGGGGTCCACGGTCTCATAACCTGTCCATGTTCAACAGTGTCTGCACTGAGGTGCTGTACCCTGCCTCACCTCGGAAATTTTACACGAGAATTAACTTAAAATGGGACCAACTTTCAAAGGCAAGGTGGGATTAGGGAATATTTTCCACATACTGCAATGCTAGATCAAGTGGCTTGATGCGGGCTTCTACTACACAGTAATGGAGAAACTTAGCTCACAGCCATCATAAGGGGTGTGTGTGTGTGTGTGTGTGTGTGTGCCATATTCTGCACATTCATCCACCCAGGACTCATTTAACGCATCCTTTAGTACTGAACTCTGTCTTTCTTAGTACAAGGCTCTGGTAAGAGCAATATAGTGACAAATTACTGTATGTCACACGTCTGCTATCACAAACACCTGATGAGATGAATGTGACGGACTCCCCCATAACACCAGTGGCATTGCATTTGCTACGCTGACACACCCAAATAGTGTGTGTGTATGAATGTACATACACTATATGTAATAGAGAAAAACAAAATATTTTCACATCACAAGCAACGACAGCCCAGACATCGCTTATACAGCAAACACTTCTTGCCATGCTGGGAGAGACACCACTCATTAGTTGTTCCTTTAAACTTTCATTTGTATTACTGTATGTCACACGTCTGCTATCACAAACACCTGATGAGATGAATGTGACGGACTCCCCCATAACACCAGTGGCATTGCATTTGCTACGCTGACACACCCAAATAGTGTGTGTGTATGAATGTACATACACTATATGTAATAGAGAAAAACAAAATATTTTCATCCAACCACAAAACTTTCAAAATGATTTAAAGCCATCTCTGCGTACTCTTGTTTGTTTGTGTAATGCAAAAGAACTTTTCAAATATAGAAACCATATTAGTTTGTCTCAGACATCTTTAATACAAGCTTCATTTGTTAGATTTAATGAAGAAGGCCTGATGACGGACAGCAGCAGCTCCTCTAATTCAGAAGAGCGAAAACTGTTGCATTTTTAAAAGCAACAGCTTCTTCTTCCAGATGCTTTGTTAACTTTTTAGTATTTCATTAAAAATTCATAAAAAAGCCACAGGATCTTGTATTAAACTTTGGTTCAAATTTACTTTAAATAGCTGATTATGCCCTTTCTCACACTACTGTGAATTGCACTGTCCTGATCATTTGTTGCAATAAATGCAGGAGACAGATCTAGACAGGTCTAGTATTGACCGTCTATGCAGAGGATTGATTGTGAAATAATTCACATTAGACTGGTAATACATCTATTACATCTTAACAGCCAGAAATATTAGAGAAGACACACCAGTCCTGCACGTTCTGACAACAAGGGTGAACTTTTCAAAATATGAGGTTTAATTTAACAACTCAAATGATGATTTTAAGTATAACACTGTGTACTATCAACACTGGTTACCAATGTGTCACTGCGCCAGTAACACAGAGGCAAATTCCTGCACAAAACATTAACCGTACTTGGCCAACAGAAACCCGAGTGCCAGGATGGGGACCACATTTCCGATCTGGGGAACCTTGCTTTGCTTCAGAGCTTGTATTAATCTGTCCACCTCAGTGAGCAAACAACTGGAGGAACAGTGACAAAAACAGGATGGCTCTGAGCCAGTAGCTCTACAGCCATCTGTGTATGTGTGTCTGCATGTGACGACACAGTCATCTGGCTTTGTGTGTGTATGTGTTATGCTACAGCTTGCTGCTCTACAGTCTTCCTCTACTAGAGCAGTGTGAAACAATAGGACATGAACACACACAGACACAAAGGAAGCGAGGACTGCTGCATTCCTGGACCTCGGCTGCTCGGCTGTGCCACGCACACTGGGGTCTGGTCTACCATTTCCACATTTATTACCATTAAGTCTTAAGTTAAACACATTATGAGTGTGTCAATGCATAACCAAACAGCAACTTAATATGGCTTCAACCATGGACAATGATGATGGTCTTCATCCTTGTGTTACCTTTAAGAAGACAGATGAGGCATCAAAGTCACACCTGGCCAAATCAGCAAATATCCTTATTAAATCTGCTACAATTTTACTATAGTTTAAATTGGATTTAAATGGGAAATTCTTTCCACAAATACAGCTGTGTGTATTGTTTTACCATATTATTTTTATCCATGTCATTTGAAGTTGTTCATAATTACTGTACATGCCACAAACAGCTTTGGGATATTTATCTGGCTGTGCTGTTAAATTGGCTCAAAATCAGTGACGGGTTTCTGACGGAAGCATTGTTTGTCACCAAAATACCCACATGGCTGGTATGTTTCTAGAGTACACACTGCTACCGAGATTGATTTGTTATGGACTGATCTGTATCCCCACTGAAGGCCATTACCTGCCTCTGCTTCCTCGATTCTGAAGCCACAAGCACTGTCACCTTGAGAAAACAGGCCAGTCATCTATTTAAACAACACTAGTTACAATAGAGCAATATATTCAGCTGCTACTGGCATCAATGACAAAGTGGAACTGCAAAAGATGAGCATTGTTGCTTCCTCACCACGCTGCACAGAGTGACAAATCAATGCAAATTGTATCTTAAACATCAGTGAGGAAGCGGGCCTTTATATAGGAAGCTGTAGCTCACCAACATCATATAGTTCTCTTTCCGAGTCTGTTTGGTTTTCTTGGGTTTGAAGCATCACACAAACCAGTCAAGACTGATAAACAGCATGCTGCATGCAGTTTACTGTCCTCATGTGCAGGATTTCTAAGTGTGGAAGTTTAGACCGGATCAAACTGTTGCCTTCCACTAACATTTCAAAAGTGAAAAACTGGATTAGAAACCAGAAATCATTCAGTGCTGTCACCTACAGTACAAGAGAAGCATGGTGGCTTTCTTCCAATATCGGCACAGAGTGGATGATTTGTGTTTAGGGATATGAACGTGTCTAGTTGGAGATATTTACTGTAGACTGTACGATGAGAAGTTGTGCAGCAGGTATTGTCAAGTATTTCAGGTGGTAAAACTGTGACTGACATTAAATGACTGCAATTAATATAGTGTTTAAAAAAAAAAAAGTTACTGCAGACAGCCTCAGGGGTGTTTGGTAAAACCAGCCCGCCCTGCCTTGTGATGTCAATAAAGACTCTGAGCTCAAATGAAGAGTCATGGCAATATTGAGAAATTGACTGGGTCTTAAGGTCTCTGTTAAGGACACAGTCCTGTGGGAAGCTATTGAATCTTTGGCATTAAATGTGACTTGCTCATTGACACCATCGTCATAAAATACTGGCAACTTATTGTGTTTTTTTTTTTTAAATGGCACCTCATTACCAAAACTCAAACATAACAGGTTCAGCCCTACAGATCCTGTGAAGGATCAAACCTGTGCTCTTGTGGTCAGGAGGCCTGTCTTAGTATCAGCCAGTCCTTCTCCTTTAGTTTCTAACTCATGCTGACAGAGAGGCAGGGCTACAAACAGAGGAGAAAACAAGCTAGCAGAGTTCACAATTTGTTTCCTGCCAAACATTCCTATCCAAGCCACAGATTTCCATACAGCGGTAAAACTAAATATAGACATTGAGGTTAACCAAGTACCATGGTACTAAGAAGCACATCCATTAACCCAGAGGTTTCAAGTTGGAGCCCCAAAGTGTCCTTCAGCAAAACCCCTGGAGCATCTGCTGCCAACAAGGAACTGCAATTTAGTGTTATGTTGCATTTTTATTCTTTACCACTACTTTTATAAATATATGAGTGCACATTAATCAGCTGTACACAGTTTGTGACAGGTCTAGCAGGTGAGTTAACTCTGAGCTGCTGGCCTGGTGAAGAGACTGTCACACACACATTTTCAACATGGCAAGATAATGAACTTAAATTAGGAACAAACAAGATTAGCTCCAACAGGGGGAGATACAATAAAGAAACACAAACATATAAGATGTACTTTATGAACAAACAGTAGATGGGCATTAAAAATAATAATAAATCTTAATTTACTTTCCTGTAATTACAGAGAATTCGGAAATTAACCAAATGTCATTTAGTCCCATTCAAGTGTTTAATGAATCTCTCATCTAGCAAAGGCCTCTCCCTGACACAGCAGTGAAATTAAAGTCCACAACAGCACGTCTGCTACACAAACAGCTCCAGAACTATGAATCTGGATATTTAATTTGTATAACCTGACTGATGTACTACAGCGAGCTCATGTACAAATCAACCAGGTATGGCTGACATAATGTCTCTGAAGCGGTCTAGAATGAAAAATCACTTTAATATTTTGATGAACCACTTGTTTTCATACTCAGTTGTATCCTTCTGTTGAACTCATCATACTTTATGGCACAGCATGGTGTATTATAGAGGGACATTACTTATGTCTGAAGCACTCAGCTGGGCATTTATAGCAACCGCATCCTTCCCGTTTGGAGCCCAGCACAGGGCCTGCAGGTGTGGGACTTTAGATATCAGCTATAACGCGACATAAATCCGACACTATCCACAGAAATGAACATTTAAGTTCCTTAATAGAGCTCCTTAATAACTGTGACTAGTTCTTATTGATGTTAAAAACGTGAATAATAACAGTAAGAGGTTCTGACATTATGGCTGCTGTTGTTATTGTTGTTATTGTAGCTAACGTTAGCTTAGCCAGGAACGTCTTAAGCCAAAGTGGATTTCCAAGCAGGCAGCTGTCAGTCTGTCAGAGCAAAACCTTTAACAAGTTCAGTAGGAGCTCTGCAATGTTAAGATTAATAGCGAACCTACTGGGCTGTCTCTGCTTCAGTCTATGTTTCCGTTTAGGCAACAAATCACTGCTTGTTGTCATGTTGTCACAATGTTCCCAACAAACAGCTAAAAGCCTAGTTAGCTTCTCGATGCTATCATGCTAACTGGGTCCGTTGGATAGCTAAAGGCTAAGCGTTTATTATCGGACACGTCTCAAATGATTACTCTCCTTCAGTATTAATAGTAGCCATTCAATACAATTTTAGATGACCACAGCATACGGTGTGCAAACAAGTTATCATTTTTGTAACGACTCACAGAACAGTACAAAATGAATTTAATTTAGCGTTAAATCAAATGTATGCGCCCGATGTCCGTTCAAAGGTTTACAGTAAACAGCAGCGCTGGCTTTGGTTAATTACAATTTCTCAGCACCTGGTCATTGTAATTGTTAAATGCCATTTCTGCAACGTTAAGCCCGATGAGCATGAAGTCGACAATAACACTCATAAAACACGAGCAAAGAATGTGTCCGACAATGGAATTATGTGCAAGAGTAGCAGATTAAATATGGCATCAGTTAAACCTAATCACAGAAAAAGGCAGTATTTCAGAAATAAGCTAAAGACGGCTCCATTATTTGTTTTCTACTGTGTATACAACGCCCATGGACTATAAAGGAAACCTATAAATAAGCTATAAACATCTAACCACTCTGCGTCCGATCATGGAACTCTTTGGTTCCCTCACTGCAGTTTTACCTTGTACACATCTCCGTATGTGCCGCTTCCTATCCTCTGGATCAGCTCGAAATCTTCTTGCGGATTCCGCCGGGACAGGTCGACACTGGAGTTCATCATTTCCACTGCCGATTACGGCACCGATCGCGCACAGTTGACGAACCCCAACAATGTATGAAACAGATATTTTAAGAAAAACATACGGCGTCAGAAAATCCCAGCCCGAATCCACTGTAGCGCCAACATGGCTTCCACTGCGCAATGGAAATCATGGCGTATTTTCTCCATAGTCTGACCAGAGCTGGAGCTGTTGTATTTAAGGTATTTGCAGATAAGATAACTTCAGATTAAAGTAAAAGCTTCGATTAACGAAAACAATACTAATTAGTCACTTGTTAATTTGTTTTGTGGTTTCATTTCAAAAAGACAATAAAACATCTCATTTTAACTCAAACCTGTATTAACTTCACTTAATCTATTCCTACACTTTTGGGGTCCATCCAATGGAAGTGAAACTGCAGCAAAAACACAGGAAGTTTACAGCTGATGGTGAAATAAATAAAAACAATACTACGCCCTATGAGGTCATGAATGGTTCACTGAAAAACTGGGCTAAGCAGGGCTAAACAGTGGCAGATGGCAACATTGTGATTCTGCTTATGGGGTCTGTTACAGGCAGAACAAAAGTCTTATTCTTGAAAACTACCAGTCACCATTCCACTCAGAGTGAAATGATATGGGTAAGGCTAGCAATATTCCATGTTTATCCAAGTATCAACAGTGACTAAAACAACAAATAGCTTATTCTTCTGTGTCATAGATCTTCATTGTTTTGCCAAAAACTACTAAAAACACAACCTTGCTGCACATTTTTTCCACTGGGTAACATGTTCATTCATCAGCATGCACATGGACACTGTAGTTTATGTCGAGTTAATCTCACATATATCATCTGGGTGTTGTGAGCACCAAATATGCATTGATTAGAATCTGGAAAATGTCTCCAATAAATGCACAACTTATACCTGTTTGAGTATTACTTTCTAAAGTCTACAGTGTTCCTGTTTTAGGAAAGTAGTGAGCCTTTAAAAAATGAAATAATATATGTATCCTGTGAGCTGTTTTGAGGTATTTACTGTAGAATGTTTTACTGTAGTTCTTCAGTAGGAACCAATGAGGTTGGGTGCTATAGACAGGTTATGGATGTTGTTGGAAGAATTAAGGGTCAGCCTTTGGAATGGCAAAATTTACAATGCACAAAGTTGACACAATTTAAAATAAAACTCTTCAAAAAATATTGGCATATATAGTTTTAATATCATTTGTAACTAAAAATCATTATGGAAACAAAACATGCTGCAGTAGTTCTAGCAAACTGCTGCAGTTCGACTGCTCATTTTTCATGATAAATAGCAAAGAAAAGTATCTTATTTACTTTGAAATGTAGCTTCTATCAATAGTGATCAAGCAACTATCTTGACATATTTATGGATGAGTCCATCTATCGCACCAAGGCTGACTCTCAGAGTTGCCTGATGCTTCAGGGAGGAGAGAGGGGGAAGTGGACCATGACAGAGCTCGTCTGTTTCCCGAGTGTATGAGGGCTGAACTCCGTAGTGGATTTGGAAACTCTGCTGCTTTGTTGAAGGTAGAAAAGAAGAAGGAGAGTCTTGTATTCCAGTTTGAAGCTTTGTTCCCTGGTTAGATGTCGGTCCAGTGTGTTTCTGTGCCAGGAGTTCTTTCAGGAGATAGGATAACTGAGGACTCAGCAGAAGAACCAGAGTACCACCAATGGAGAGCACTCTGGAAATACACACATTCGTTAAACTGATTACAGACAGAACGCCTTTTTTCATGCTTATTTGAAATTTTATAGAAACACTGACCAACACAATATTCTAAAAGAAACAAATGCAATGCATAAACAGGGGCACAAACCTCTCCATCTCATTGACAATAGCTGGCAGCTTGGCAGCCATGTCTGTTTTGGTGCCAAACTTCCTGCCAAATGGTAGGTCACAGACCACAGCATCTACACTGCCACTGGGCAGAGGCAGCACTGCACACACAGAGGTGGACAGACATCATTTAAAACATGACAGCAGGGTTGTGTCTGACCTCCCATAAAAACATGTAGCTTTGCATCCACAGTGAACTAAATAAAGGTTTAACAACAACATCAAATTGACACTTTTCCAGTGCAGGTATCCTACCAACAGATGAAGCTTTCAGCAGGTGTATTCTGTTTCCCAGCTCTGCAAACTCTACATTGTCATTGGCCTTCTGAAGCTGTCCATCATCAATGTCCATACCCAGGAAACAGGTAGCCTAATGACCCCATTGAGGTTATCAGATTATAATAGTGGTGACACAAATGCACAGTATCAAGGTAAACATTGCAATGATCTTTCTAATCTATTCCATTTTCTTCTGCTTATCTGAGATCGGGTCACGGTGGCAACAGGTTGCAAGTCAGGCAATCTTTCTAATACATATTTTTAAAACAGAGCCTTTGATATTTCTTGGGAGAACAGAGAAGAAAGCAAACAAAAGCAACTGAATAATATAAAATGTGACAAGGAAATATTACAATTAGACAGTATTACTGCATATCTGAACAATATTCTTAGCATTACCATACATATGAAACAAAAACAAACAGTAGGATACTTGTCGTCGTGTGTACAGGGACTGAACCATTTTCAATCATTTTGTGTTTTGTCCAGTTCTAAAACTTTATAAAGTCCGTTAACTTCACTTTTCAAACATTCCTACAGTTGACAGATATACAGCAACACTGTGTTGATTTCTGTCCTGACCTTGTGCTCCTGTGCTGCTTCTATTAAGATGGTTCCCACCCCACACATTGGGTCAACGACACAGAAACCTGGCTAGGAAAGAGAAGACAACACACAGTATAGACAGTTGGTCACCTGCACACAGTGCAACTGTGACCGAGGGGCAATATGACATTATAGTCTGAGCGGTCATCATGCAAACGTTTTAGCACACTGACTGTCAAATTATAAATAACAAACATTATGTTAAAGTCTGAAAATAAGGTCAGCTTTAGCATAGCAGCTTTAAGGCTAAATTGTCACATTTAAATGAGTCTAAACATGCCTTTATTTTTAAGGGGATTGATAAAACAAAAAATTAGCAGAATATTTCTCTGCAACAAAGACAAAAGAAAAGCCCCTGCTTGCATTATTTAATAATGCTTTCTAATTCTCAAATAAAGGTATAAACAAAATAGTATACACTACAAAGTAGTTTCCTTATAACCTTCAGGAATCATAAATGCACACACTATAAATAAAGAATACAGCAGCAGTTGTGTGTCTTAGTACCTGTATCTGAGCCAGTGAGGCCATAGCCCAGGCTACTGTAGACCTCAGTCCTGTGGTTTTAATATAGCTCCGGTTAGCCAGTGGTAACCTGCACATCAGAAAGACACATCAGACCCATTCATAAGCTACACTTATGACTACTCATCTAATTAACTGAAGCTGTGATATGACAAGTCTACCCCACCATCAGACCTAAATCCCCTGTGTTTCTGAGATTCACAGTAAATATTCATACAAAAATATTTAGTACAATTTAGAGCATATACAGAAGCATTTGCTGTTAGTGAGAGTCTCTGGATTGTTTTTACAACGTGAGGCTAGCAGTCACAGCACAGATGTATTAAAAACAACACCACAGCATTTAAGAAACAAAAGGAAAAGTTGAACATGCATCAGACAAGATACATTCAAAAACTGCCAACAGCTGCACTGTGTTTATGTTTATTACAGACTGGCTATGTTACAAATTGTCTCTCTTGGAGTAACTTTGATGACTCCTGGTTTTAAATTAATTATTGATAGAGAAAACGCTTTAGTCAATAACCTGGTCAGTGGAATCCCCAGTAGGCAGTGGTCATCACTCAAATAAACATTTACCTGCAGAACAGAACAAAGAGCCTAACAGTGTCACATTTGAAGGGACAGGCAGAGAGTTTCTGCCAACACCACCACCCAAAGAGAACATTTAGAGGTACTATCAAACAGCCTGACCACAATAACCTATAACCGATATAACTGGGGAGATTTTTTTTTAACACTAAAAGAATTTACCTCCAGCTGTGGATTCTTCAGATCAGCCTTCCAGCCCAACAGTCTGCTCAAACCTACTCCAATCACTTTGCTCACCTCCTGTATTAGATATCATTTAGAAACACAGAATAGTTATTTATGGTACTCACACCTCCATATGGTTACCTGGTTGTATGTGCAGGAAGGCATTCTGTATGTCCATCTGACACTGTGATCGAGAGAGTAGTCACCTGACTGACAATATGACTTTGTGTCCACAAATGAATGACATGCATTTATTTTTGCTTAGTCTAACAAGGTGCAGCTTTACTAAGGTCTTCAGAAGCTCACAAAAATCAAAATAATTGGGGTTCTGAAATTGGGGGTATAAGTCTCTGATTACTTCCTAATGTATATACACCTACCAGAGAAAATATTCTGACTTTACAGAGTTCTGCATTTTAACTTCTGCTACCTGTGAGCTGAAGTATCGGGACACCGATCCAGTACACTTGCAGCTTATCCTAAAAGAGACTGCGACAGCAAAAGCCAGCTCTGGTTGCAGTAGTGCTTTGCCTCCTCCTCCAGTGGACTTCACTTTATTACATGAGAAAACAGAAGGATGTAAAGAAGAAAACAGGAATGAGAAAATGTTGCATGTCTATAAATAAATACTGAAACATTATCTTATTACCATTTTCCACACTTATTACAGCAAAGCTTGCTGCATTGACAACCTTCCTCCTGCCGCTACTTTCCACGTTGTGGTGTCGTCCTGCTGTTGCATGGTCCCAGACTGTTCCTCCTCCATTGAAATCTGTTCCTGATATCACTCCATGTCTACTATTAAATATTCTCCTCTTGTCTTCTTCCTCTCTCTTCCTTTCTCTCTCAGATGCCTTGTCTTTCTCCACATTCTTCTCACTATTGGAGTCTTGAGTGGCACCCCAACTCTCCTCATCATCTTCTTCATCATCCCTCTTACTCTTTTTTTCTAAAAAGCAGGTTTCTCCACTTGTCTCTTCCTCCTTCTCTTTCTGTACATCTCCCATTCCTTCAGCCTCCCTCTCTTCTTTCTCTCGCTTTCTCTTCTTTTCCACTGTCTGTGCTCTAGTTCCCAGGCTCCTGTTCCCATTCTCCTCCTCCCTCTGCTCTCCTGTTCTTTTTCTAGTCTCCATACCCTGCTCATCCTCCTCTTCCCTCTGTCCTTCACCCCCTCTCCCCTCCTCCCTGTTCATCTTCCCTCCCAGGGCAGTGCTTGGTGTTAGGGCAGAGGTTATTCTGTTCTTCTTCTGTTCTAGCTCCCCCTGCAGGCGACTCCATGTCAGAGCAGCCCTGGTCCATTGATTCTTGTCACCCAGCAGTCTGGACTGCAGAACAGAGGCTGCCTTTGCTATGAATATCAAAGAAAACACTCATCAAAAGTTGATACAAACATGGCAATTAATGGCACTAAGCTGCAACGAGATTAGGTTTAAATTAAAATGACATTTAAGGCACGTGATAACTGAAAGACAGGCATACAATTTAATAACTACCAGGGTATTCCTCATGTTTTGTATCTGTGTATGTGAGGTATCAGGCTGGCACCTGGGTTGGTGTGGGCAGACAGCCGCACAGGTGGCTCTTGTTTCACCAGGAGGAAGAGTCTCTCAGCAGCTTTCAGCTCGCTGACTCTGTCAATAGTCATAGGGGAACTGAACAACACTTTACCTGGGATCTGACGCACCTGGACACACACAACAACAGAAAGAGCAGGTCATCGTTTACAGACTTCACTATGCAGCTAAACCAGCAATAATTCAGTGAGGCAATTAAATCTTGAACTGACCAATACTGCATTATTGGGATAGACACTAATATTAATGTTTAAGAGTCAAATAAATTAAATCAGGCGTTAACACGTTTAACTTAATAATCATATTCATCTTGCTAGCTAACAATCAAACGTGCATTGCTTACCGCAGCAGGTTCACATCTAGTTAGTTAACTGGGATTTTTGCGAACATCTAACAACACAGTGCCTATCGGTACAAAACAAAGAGCTTCTGTTAAGATCAACGTCCTTCTTCTTTATTTTTAACAAAATCTCTAAAACTAACCAGGGATGTAATAGTGAAACTGGCATTGATGTCAGGTACAGTGTAAGTTTTTTTTTACTGCCGTTGCGACTTGTCATTTCACCCGTAGAAATACCTACATTTTCAGCTGCGAGCTTCCTCTTCACCTCCTCCATTAAGAAAGGCTCCATGCCTTTACCAGCTGTGCAGTAGTAGCAAAGTAAACCCCCCTCACTCCTCGGTTCAGTCATTATAATATGTTCAGGGTCAACACATTCTCATAACTTCTACTGGTCTGTGAAAGTCGCCATGTTGGTTTGTTTGTTTACACCGGAAACGGAACTACGCCATAGCACGCAGTGACCATTCCTGGCCAGCAGGGGACTCTCTTACGTCGTGGAAAAACCGTAGCTGCATTATACCAGACATTTGACTCTCAACCACTTTCTTATCTGTCTTTCCTCCTGCCAAGTCACACTTTCTCCAGTAATTTTTTATGACCTCAGACAAAGTTAATCCCCTTACTTTATTTGATGAACAATGTACTGCTTGTGCATTGTACCATAAAACCCCTCAAATGCTGACAGGCTGATGCAACCTGCCGCAGTGCAGTGCATGATTCTAACAATGTGAAGCATAAATATGTTTATATAATATTGACCATGAATATTGCTTTAGATTGATGTAATTTCTAGAGCCATTGCTAACAATGTTAGGAATGGAGGTGACTGGTAGCTCCTTCAAGAGCTATTTTCAGCTGGTCTAGTGGAAAATTTGTCTCTTATGCCAACTAGTGTAGGCCATCAGACTGACATCAGAATGGCCTGTAGAAACACAATCCACCTAACTTTTTTGCTACATTAGATTTACTTGACAAATTCCTTCCAGTGTTCATTTAGTCCATATTATCATCATGTAGAAAAACAAAAAGAGGAGAAGTGAGATTTTCTTTCTTTGCAATAACTTTCATCTCTTTAAGGTTAATTCAGCTCAACTGTCTCAAACACTGGCCACACTGTTGGTCACGTAATTTCCATCCAGCATATTGCAGTCAGAAACCCTGTTACATCAGATTGCTCCATTTATAAACATTACTGGGTTGCAAGATGGAAAATGATTATGGCACCTTTAGTCAGAGACAGTTTAAATTAAAATTAAAGTTGGATTTATAGGGCTTTTACCAAATAAAATGCAATTCAGGTTTCCCCTCCTCTTCGTTATGCTCTTTCTCTTAGCTTATGACTACTTTCATTAGCCCATAATATTGGATGTATCCATGCTGAAAGGAGACATTAATACTGCTTTCAACAGCTGCCTTTTGTAATAATTAGCTCCACGGCTGCTAAGTGAACACAGCAGCTTCACAAAATGGAAGCCACCTGACACATTACTAAACATTAAACTTGGCTTTATTCTCCTCCACACCCCATAAATGATTAGAGGGAGGGAGGGAGGAGGATAAAGGCAGGGAGGGGGCCAGATAAAGAAGACAGAAAATGGATGTTGGAAAAGAAGAGAAGGAAAAAGGAGAACTGATAATGAGGGGAAAGAGATGCAGAACAGAGGAAAAAGAAATAATGGGAAATAACCATAAAGTTAAAACAGTAGATTTGTTTTACATTGTCATAACATTAAACGCTACTAGATTAGTAGCGTTTAATGTTATAATGTGACCAAAATTAGTCACGTACAGTTAGTCACAGTCTGAGGCATCTTTATGACAGCTGGGCGACTTCAAATACTGAGTGTGGCCGAAGCTTCAGAAAGCCCAAGAAGGTGAAGAAGGTGTAGAGAAACTTTTGACAAATGACTTCAGGTGTTAACATGACCTATAGTAACTTGTGAAGGTTAAAGGCAAAGAATTCAAGTTTGGTCACCTGTGCAGGGTGGACCCCGCCTCTCGCCCAGTGTCAGCTGGGATTGGATAAGTGGTATAGATAATGGAAGGATGGATGAAGTTTGGTAACACAGTTAAAAATATATATCTTATATAACACCTGCTTGGTACACAGTAATGTTCAAAACAATTTTGCACTGATTAAATACACTGCAAAGGGTCCAAACAACAACAAGACAGAGTCATTTGTCACTTGCTGACGCATGCTGTACACATACAGAAACACACACTCACACAATGTAAATGTCATGTGTCCATTCTCTGAATCATCTATTTTCAAGAGTTTCCAGCAGTATTATCTTGCAAATTACACATTTAGCTTGTGATAATTAATATGTGCAGAACTTTCATGAGGGCTGTCATCTAAAAGGCCAGGCTATTTGTACATACAGTATGTGTGCGTAGGGTAGGTCGAATGCATCTGTCATTCTCATCCAGCTCCTCTGTTCTTTAATTATCACCTTTACTTTATTTTTTACTTCTGTTCTTTTGATTTCTTTTTTCTTCTTCCC